CTTAAAATAAGAATGTACTATGAATACCGTCCTAAAAGTAAGAAACTGATAATACGATACTAATTTCGTGATTTATTAGTTTCATAGACATGTATATATGTTTAAAACTTAATAATACTTGATTTTTATTTAAAACTGTGATTTTAATCATCATCCGAGTTTGATTATCAATAGAGATGATAATAGCAGAGAAAAAATTGTAATTTTTTGGCAATATATAAGATATTATAGCATTAAAAGTATGAGTACTTATTTATACAGCATTTATATAATAAAAAATCATGAATTTAATAATAAATTATTGAAATATTTATGTTAATAATCATAAATTTTTATTAATTCGGTAATATCATTGTTTTTCAATTATTTCCGGGCCTCCAGGGCTCCATTGATAATCACGAAAATTTTCCCAAGACCGACGGTTTTTAATAGTATCTCGTCGATGACTAGGTAAAACAATTCGCAGAGTCAACGATGATATTGTCTTGCGATTGATATTGATGCGATTAATCTGCATTAACAGCTGGACTGCTGCGAATAAACTCAAGCTAAACGCAAATAAAACAATCAGCCATGATTCTGGGGACATTAAAGTATATTAATTGTGTCGATATGCGCGTAAATTATCTTCTATTATGGTTAATGATAATTCATTATTTTCAAGGATAATATCGAATATCTTGAATTATCTATTTCTAGATAATATGTATAATCTATCTTGGGAGAGGCAAACTACTAAAGTGTGTGCTCCAGGATTAATAGTTGCTTTCCATTTATACACAAGTGAAACTGAGTCTGAAGTGAGGTAAGTATAATATTTCATACTCATATTATGATGTCATTATTTACTTTAATAAAAAGTTATCACACGACAACAGGTTCATAACCTCACTTCTAAAATGAGTTTACGACACTCACTAAAGCACACGATCTCGATCTTGTGCAGATTACAGGCAAAAACTGAGTCAAATCTCACTAATTGTCAAAATGCCAAAGGAACGCGCATTCAACTGAGTTATGACGTCACAAGTGAGAATTATCTGAGAATTGGTGTAATCAGAGCTGGGATTTAGATCCGTATTCATAGTCAGACCTTATATTTAAGGCTTCCTTAAATTTATCTTCAGATGCTCTATGAATTATTTCATTGGTTACTGAGCATCTAAAGATAAATTTAAAGAAGCCTCAAGTATAAGGTCTGACTATGAATACGGGCATTAGTTGCACATTTCGACCGATTTTTAGCTTGGTTCCTGCTCCTTACTTCACCAACCCGCGCGCAGTCTAAATGCCAATCGGTCGTATTCGCGCGCATGCCATTAATAGTCAAAACGGAAATATATCGCAGTATTTGCCAATTCAAATGATTGCTTGCTGTTATACGCTATAGAGTTAAATTCAAACTATTTAAATGACCTAAGATGTAAGATAGAAATATTGTAGAATAGAGTTGTACAAGCGAGCAAAAATGTGTCTGACAGCGACATTAATTTTGGATATTCGCTTTAATAAATAGCATGATCAATTGTTCAGTTTTTTTAGGCGTAACAATTTTTATGCACATATATTTGAAAGAGTAGAACATTTTCCAAATCACCACAGATTGAGCATTGACGTATTGAAAGAGAAAGTAAAAAGTCAAAGCTGTGTATGTCTTATTGCATGTATTAATTTATTCGTTATACATTTATTTTTCCATGATTTTATTTATTACGAAGCCATGATATATATATTCGAAGTATTCCTTTACATTAGGGGATATCTCTTCGATCTTGATCTTGATCTTGATATATGTTATAGAGGTCAAGGTACTGATCAACTTTTCCTTATAAATTAATCGGCGGTCTCTTATAGTTTTCGAGATATATATTTACGTAAAACTCTTTTCAAAATTTTATTATTTCCTGTATGTCGCACGATGTTCCAAGCGAAGCAAATCTCCCCCTCCCTGTTTCAGGGGCGTCCGACTTTTATTTCCCTTGACAGGAGGGAGTCATTTAGTAAGGCGAAGATCTAAATATTTTAGAAACTATAAAAGACCGCCGATTAATTTATAAGGAAAAGTTGATCAGTACCTTCACCTTTATAACATATGTCAAGGTCAAGGTTATCGAAGAGCTGTCTCTAATGTAAAGGTTTACCTCTATATAATATTGATAATAAATATATAATCAATATATCGTTTATAATACGAAATACATAAATTTAAGCTTAAAAATATAGATTAAATTTAAATTAATATTATATATATATTACATGATTAATTGATATGTTAATAAAAATTTATCAAAAAATTTTCCTTCCCAATATACTTTATCCGAAAGGCATTCTGGAACGTTCTTAAGACATATGGAAGATTTTCCGAACGTTTCTAGAACAAAGCGCGAAGTATTGGGCTAATGTTGAATCTAATCCTAGGAATGCAACACAATGTGGCCATTGTAAATTAAATGTACAGCAGTTGACCATTAGTCAACTAATCTATACTGCTGGTATGTCTATCGAAGTATGATAGCTGAAGAGAGTTTGATGCTTTGATCTGAAATTAAAAGAACTGAAATAGAAGAGGAATATTTCCGAAGTCGTCGAGTTAGCTAAAACACTCGCCTCGGAAAATCGAGAGGTTCGAACCCTGGCTGAGGTAATATTTTTCGCAATAAATTCTTTACCTTTCTAATTAATTTAAGGGGGATTATTTCATATAGGAGTGTCCTGCGCCTTATCATATACAATATCTGTCCAAAAGTATTATACTTGTTCACACTTGTTCTATTTTGCTTTATTATATTCGTTCACACTTGCTAATTCGCAAAAAGTGTACAAATATGTACAAATGTGCGCCAGGAAGTTGACTGTTAATGGCGGAACCAATCAGCAACCGCTTCAACATTGTCTAGACTCTGTTATAGAGACTCTATGGACGGAATCCATAGACGTTGCTCAAGATTCGAGATGGTCTTAAGCTAGTGCATGAACCAATCAGAGAGCCGTATTAGCATCTTAAGGGTCTGAGCACAAGAATTGTCGCAACGGTCGTAACGCTTACTTAGAGACTTAAGTTGTAGACGTAAGTAACGCACAAGCTTTGGCGTATGATGTATGACTTATTGCCATTTCTTGGAGATACGGCAATAAGTTGTACGTCATACACCAAAGCTTGTGCGTTACTTACGTCTAGAACTTAAGTCTCTAGGTAAGCGTTACGACCGTTACGACAATTCTTGTGCTCAGACCCTAAGACATTGCTTGAGATTAAGACCGGACTATGGATTCCGTCCTATGTGTTGCTCTAGTCTTATTGTATCCTTAATATTCCCTCTCATTAATTACTGATGTGCGATCAGTGCGGTTCTCTATGACATCACTGATGGCATCACTGATCAACTAAATTTGAAATTGCAAAGGTTTTTGAATGCCTGTATCAGATCAGGAGATACGGTAGTGTCTCGGCGTTAAGCTAAGTGCAGCGACACTATCGTGTTCTTTTACTCGCGAGACCGCGAGTTGCGGGGGATCGAGATTATTGGATCTCAATAATGTTTATTTTACAGGCTATAGATGAGATGAACATGTTACACCTTATTATGTCGCATTAAGATGGCTCAAGATTAGATCTAGGAGGGATTATTTTATCGGTTGTCTCATCTACACTATTTTGAATAGTAATTAAGAGACCTACCGCTTTGTTTGTGAATTCGAATTTAGAAGCAATAGAAAACTGTGTGATACTAGAGCTCATGAAGATGTGCTCGTACAGCCATTGTATCGAACCGAGCTCTTTAAGAAATCTTTCAGATGTTATGCCGTGGAATTGTGAAATGGGTTGCCGACAGACGTACGCGGTGCAATGTTGCTCTCTTAAAGCTTTCAAAAGAGAAAGTATTATAATCATCTCCTAGTCAATAATAACTATGTTTTTTACATATATTATTATGTAAATTATGCAATTTAGTTAAATGAGATTGCATTTACTATAATTTATATAGCTCATCATGCGTATGTTTATATAGCGATAATTGTTACACTTCTTTTGTTTTGTTACTTATTATGTAATTTTCTGTCCCAATGCTTTAAGAGACTCTGTCCCGGAGCACAAAATAAATAATGCTTTATCATTATCATATTTTAATTCCATCTTTTGCAAGATCCGGCACCTACTGCTAGACACAATTGATCATTTTGTCCATATAATCTAAAACTTTTGTTTTAAAGAAACGACAGTGTTACGAGTTGGAAAACGTAAGTTTTTAACTTTTTAGTATAAAGTCCACTGCCCGACTTCCTAATTTTGCGTCTATTTCAATCCTGCAAAAGGATTTTTAATTCCGTTCAGTCAATTCGGAATTTTTACACGGCTGTAATGTACGAAGAATTTTGTCACCCCAGCATCTCTTTAAACTGATTGCTATAATTTCTAGATTTTTTTTTATCATGCTTAAGTGTTCTACATAATGATTTTATTTGTGACTCAATAAAATTATTTTCAAATATGTATCTAGCTTTAGGTATTTGGACAAAACCGTTCTTTGCGTGCCATACCAAAAAATTTTGGTTATTCAAAATAAGGGGACTGAAGGATTGATGTTTTCAATGGCGTCGCGAGGCCGAAAGATAAATTGTGAATTCCCGAATTGGGATTTCTCTCGTAGCGAGTCCTAAGTTTCAGAGGGTAGGAAGTGGATACCTGGAATCGGAAAAAGAGAGACAGGAAGATTTTTTTTAGAAACGTCGACCGTGTGTCGTTGCAAAATGGACCAACGTGTATAAGTGTGCGCGCGCGCAACGCGCACCAGGTGGTCGTTGGTAGTGACGATACTTTTAGCCTAGTGGGCAGCTGGCTGAGGGGTGATTTTATCGACCAGGATACGCGAATCTCGAAAAGGTTCAGTAGTCGCGGGAACTCCACCCCGTCAAAACAGCTTTCGCTAAGCGCTTCATACGCGAACGCTTTTACGGTGCTCTTGTTTTTTCTCCCTCTTTCTCCTTTTTCTCTTTCTCCGTTCTTCTCACGATCTTTTCAGTATTGTTTTCAAGCTTTGCTCCTTCCTTTCCTTTCCGTTTCCGCGAAATATCTTGTGACGGCCGCAACCGAAATACGACGCGAGCAGAAGAGGAGGTGCCATATTCTTGCATACGAGCGATCCTAGATTTAGCAGCACGAAGTAAGTAAAACATGATACAGGAAAAGTACGAAGAAGTGGATTTTATTTTTTACGTGTAAATGTTTCTGGAATATATTTCGTATTTGAGGCGTCGCTTATTCGATACAGTTATCCACTCTTTCAAGTTGACTTCTACAACGCGAACGTACCGAAAGATAAATACGTCACAGTACGTGTCTTTTCCTAATTACACGTTACATCGCGGCTCTTTCTTTGATTTCGAATCTATAATTCGAGCTCCAATCGGTAAGGTAACATTTACGCCCGAGGAAGTATTCGAGTGAGGGTTTGCACAAGTCGCTATCTATTATATTTTCGTTTATTTGACAGGATGAACAAATATGGAGCAATCCAATATCAGAGTATTCGGATACAATGAATTCGATGCGTTTCTCATTCTCTTATCCTTAATTGTATTTAACGTAGGATTACATTTATTGTTATTATTTATAACAGATTCAACGCGGAATTTTAGTTTGGATTTAGAAGGCACTACTGTTATACATGTTTAGGGGAAACTCGCTATAGAACATCTGATTCAGCGCTTATCAACGAAGCGTGAAATTTCTTCTTGAATGTGATCAATGGTGACCCATTTATCGATTTTCCCAGATTTTAGTGGAACGTATGCTACGTCGTTTATATTTGACTTAAGATAGGAAATAGAGAGGGAATAAAAATACCGACAATAAAAACAAAAATCAAGGAAATCAAGAATCCTCTGTGTGAGGATTCAATGTATCTCAAACCGAGCTGTCGCGAACTACAGATTATACATCATACAACGAAACGCATGGGATGCACCCAAGTGGTATATTTATCATCTGTCACGTCCGCGTGACAGTCGACAAATATTGACACATCCGCTGAAAGTTTACATTTCCTATCCTCTCTTGTGTCCAGCGTTGTCAATACTATAATGAAATTGCGACAGTAATATACACGAGGCGTCCATATGGCGTGCAGTAACCTCGATTATCGGAAACTGTTATAGCTATACTTTTCTGGAGCGCAGCCAAACGGAATATCAACGACGAACCAGCGCAGCGCCATAAGCTCAAGGCAAGCGGCGGCGAGTTAATGCACGAGGAATCGATGCCATAAATTCATCCTTCATCCCTTTCCTCCCTTTTCCTCTCCATTTTTCGGGGAAGCTCGATGGTTTGATTGCCGATCACCGGATTAAATGTCACCATGAAATGAAATAATCGCGATCACGAAAATCGTTGTTGCGAGGAGTGAACATGTTTTTTTTCCGAATTTATACATTGAAAATAGTAGTGGCAATCATAAAGGTGACAACTGCTTATATAAATTTCATAGGTAGAATTAATGTATGTAAGTACATAGTTGAATTAATACATATAGCTGAATAAATTATTTTATATGTAACAAAATAGTTTATTCAACTATGTATTAATTCTACATAGAAAACTTGTATAGTTGTATATAGTTGTTATCTTTATGGTTGTTACTATATCTTATTCTTTGAAAGTACTTGAAGTAAAATCGCGCTATAAATGGCTTCGGCCATTGCTTAACGTAAAACCAGTCCGCAAATTGGTATCTTCCAAGGTGAATCACCTCGACGCAGCGTGGAGCTTTGTATCAAGCCAAATCTTGAAGATATCGTGAGTCCCTTTAAAAAATGTTCCAAAGGAGGGAAAAATACACGTAAATTCGTGTATGAAATCAAACGATACATGAATGTGGAACGAAATTACATGGATTTACAAAGACGTCAGATATCCCTTTCTTCTCTCGTTCGCTACCCCTTTGAGGATCTGGCAGAAATCCAGGCTACGAGATAGCGGTAATATTAGTTGCACATTCGAGAACGTCTAATCTATAACTCGGCCTACTGTATACGACGCACGTGGAGCTGCAACCATGACATCGGAGGAATCAGGCCACCGTTCCACTTTACGCCCTTCTAAAGCGATAACAGTCATATATCCGACTATTTTATGCGCGTACACCGCACCGCGCATGATTTTGGAATATCCACAAAATTGAGAGATCCTCCTGTTCGGCCTTCGATACTTTGAGTGGCCCAACACGGTGTGTGTGTGGTGTGGAATTAAAATCATTTAAATCTCTTTAATTACTTTAAATCTCTTTAAATCAATTAAAATTGTATCTCAGCCGTCGTAAATATTATACAAAGCTATGAGATGGCACAAATAGACGTGTTTTTCTATTTACTCTCGCATTGTTTGTGAACGCAGTCACGCAAGATCGTACTTATCGTTAGCGCGTCGATGAGAATTAATGTATCTCTCAGATTATAAAAGAGACGAGAGAGAGAGAGAGAGAGAGAAAGTGTTTGTCGTGCGTTTTTTAGCAGTTGTACACCTGTACTCAATCCGTGCTGGCTCGGTTATTCAATAATCGAGGTACAAAGGCCATCGCCCCTCTCGAGAACATATCTAGGTCACCGACACCACTAACGTTTTCCTGCAGTAATCGCCATCGTCATTCGACTACCAAAGCAGTCCTCGTACTCGCGGGAACGACTGCATAATATTTCGAGCATCAATTTCTCGATACAAGGAATCATTTAAATCGCACATCCCCTAAAATTTAATAAACTCTACCACAATTGTGTATACAAAAAAGTTTTTTCAAGTATTTAAAAATTTAACTAAATGGTACATGTACACACACACAGATCAGAAAATAATTTTATTAGATCATCAAAGTAATTATGTAGAACGCTCAAATTGGTTGCTACAGTGTCAAAACTTTTTGCAACATTCCTCATCATGTTTGAGATTCCTACGTTGTTACTTTAATGATCCAACAAAATTATGCAGGCCTATGGATGCTTTCCAATTATTTAACACATCTTAACACAAACATACACAAGAATGTTTAAAGTAACATTGTGCACAATTCAATTGGAACAGTATATATGTATATGTTAGGCACGGTTTCATAAGAGGAGTGTTGAGGGAGACGCTATCAAATAACGCTATTTGTGTTATTCTATCTTTATCGTTTATTAGTTGTAAAACAGGAATAAAATGACACAAATAGCGCTAATATGTAGTATCTCCCCGAAAGCACCTTAAATATTGCTTTGTCCGCCTGTATTGAACGAAAAAACAACAAAAGTGTCGGCCATTTTACATTCTTCAATCTATTTATAGCCACTGCGATTAGTTGACATTGTACTATAGAAAAGCTTATACAGCCGATTAATAGCCTTCGGCTGAATACGTATGTGTAGTGTTGCGATGGCAATTGGAACGCAACTTGTGTCGCTGTGTACACAAGAGTGTCTAATGATTTTGGAAAGCTGTTTAAAGTTTTGGAAAGATGTCTAATGATAATTGGAAAGCACTCTACATTAAACTAAATTTGTAGATATTTTAACAAAATCGTCCGTTCTTTCCATGTATAAATACGTCATTGCAATAACGTATACAGGGTAGGATGGGGTATTATGAACACATTAAAGAAACATTTTCATATATCTAGCATATTGAAGAATAAAAAAAATCTTGCATACATTTGATAGATTTATTAATGTCTTATGTATTTTAATATTGAAATTGATTATACAGGCCGACAAAATTTAAGGAGGTCTTGTGTTTTGAACTTTGAAAGGTGTTTCCGTAGGATTTTGATGCGCTGAAAACGACTATCTTGTCCGTTTTTTTCCATCACCCTTCATTTTTTAAATAATTATAAAAACAGTTTTTTTTCGGAAGTAACTTTTTTATTAATTTTTTCCGGCTAAAAATAAAAAATGATATCGAGGTCTGTCTTACGGTATTTAACTCAGAAATGTTCCAACAATACTACAAATATTTTTTCAATGCTTATAAAAATATTTTATTCAAACCGCAAACAAGAAACTTTGGAAAAATCGTAAAAAACCGAAAAGAATTGACAAATTTTCAAATATAGAACCAATTAATTTAAAAGAAAAAAATTGTAAAAAAATATCTGACAATTTATACTTATAGTTGTATGTTTCTAGTTTAAATCCTTTTTTGTGAAAAACTAATTTTCGACCATTTGTTCAGAAGTTACTAAATTTAAAGTGCCAAAGCAGCCCGCGCGTAACCTATGGTACGCGATATTCTCTCGAATTTGACACATAGCCACCGAATACAGGAGCATATGTTGTGTAGTCTTTTTTGATCACTGATTTCAAATCTGAAATAAAAAATGTGCAATTCGAAATAGCGGAGTCAATATGGAGAACAAAGTTTTAAAGAATCCGTACATTGAGAGAAATGTTTTGTATCAATAACCAAAATTTTGTTACTGACACAAAAACTATTTGTTGATATGATCAATCAAATCGTTGGTTACCATGACAATATTAATTTATTGAATTTATTAAATGAACTAATAATTTAATGATATAAAATTGTTTTGTATGATGTTTATAGATCTTTTGTAATTAGAAATAGAACATTTTGTTATCGGAACAAAACAGTTACATAAGAATAATATATATCTTTCACTTTCTACAGACTGAAATTATGTTTGACGTTTTTGAATTTCCTTAGCAAAGGTATATATATGTAGATTTAGATCAATTGAAATTACTAATCACTCTGAAAAAATGATTGTTATCATGATTGGTCATGATGTGGCGAGAGCTGAGAAGTCCACGAGAGTAGTCTCTAATCGTCCCAGCTTTATACAGGTAGACGTTGAATTTCTCTTACGAGAAGACACGCCATCTCTGACAGCTCCGCGAAATGTTCCTCGCTCTACCCCATAGTGGATTATTTTGTTGAAATTAATAAAAGAATATTCATTTTGTAATGGCAACTAAATTTTACATTGTTATTTACAAAACGTAAGTAACCAAATAAATTTGTATTGTTAAATAAAAACATTTTGTTCTCTCATCTAACAAAAAATATTGTATTTTGTAATTTTAACAAAATAATCCAATGATAATCGGCCATTTGTGAATAATTCTCTTTTTTTGTTACCAATACTATTATATATCTTTTTTCTCAGTGTACGATTTACATGAAAATCGATATTTGATGGTTTTGTAAGCCTCCGATTACTACTGTAATCACAATTGTTGAATTGAAAATAGCAGATCCATTAGCGATGAATAGTAAATGTACACGAAACGGTGATTTTAACGTTACCCATCCTGTATCACGTGGAGGAATCACCTTATTATATGATACCTTCACATGAGACAAGGGTAACGTTGTTCCGTGTACATTTACTATTCATCGCCATTGGTTTATATATATAATATATATATATCTCATTCCATGTCAACTCGGCCACCCCCTTGTCCAAAACTGTACGCAACCAAATGTAACTTATAGAGTGCCAAAATTTAGGTCGAAATTTCTAATTTTTGATGTCATATGGCGATTTTGAAAAATATCAAGTAATGACCTTGATTTTGTCTGTTAAATAGAAAAAGTAATGTTTTCATTATTCCATTCTCTACTATTTTTTTTTAAATGAAGTACAATGGTCATTTTCAATGTAATTTTGTATGCTGAATCCAAATCTGAAATTAAAATTAATCAATAATATTTGGATTGCGTGAAAAATAGTCGAAAAAGATGGCGTGGAAGTCGCTTCGTGTGGAAAGCTGTGTGCCTCTAGGCAGGAGAGAGTGTTGAGGTCTTAATATTGTATATAACAAAAATAAGATGTTACTCCTTAAACATTTTTTGTTAATAATTTTTTAACGAATAGCGAGCGATGGCTAAAAATTCTTGGAGGTTACTCAGAGTCATGATTTTGACAACATATATTAAAGTCAAAGTCATCAGAAAGATCTTGCCCAATCAGCATACTTATCACCATAATTTTTCTTTATTATTTTTAATCTTTTAAACTATACAAAACCTGAAGATATTCATAAATAATCACTATATATTGTAACAATATTACCTGTAAAATTTCAGCTCAATCGGAATGGTATCCCATTCGGAAATACAGCCTGTCTGAGCCCTACATATTACCTGTAGTGTTCATAATACCTAATCCTACCCTAATTCGATCGTTGCATCACTCGTTTTTGCAACTTGTCATGTTTTCACATAATCTCGTTTCAGAATGATTACGGCGCTACCAGTACCTTCGGTGAAGGTCTTTCACAAGACTTATTACCAGGAAAAAAGTTCGCGGATAGGAAATAGTCAGCCGGGTAGCCCATTGGCGGAAAGCGAGGCAGTACTGACGATAGATAAGGAATCGCCGGAGTATTATTTCTGCGGACAGGTAAGAACTTCATCTCACTTTGCCGTTCCTCGGTCGCTATTGTTCGTTAGGGGAAACGCGTATTAAACGATAGGTACTTTCCAATTGTTTAACACCTCTTAACACAAACACAGGAATGCACAAAGTGTAGCATTGGAACAGAATATAAGCTATACACGGTTTCGGTCCGTTTCGGATAAAATTAGATAACCTAAATGTAGTTGTTTCGTCTTATTGAATGAAAAGAAAAGCAAAAAATCGACCACCCAACATCCTCCAACCTCATTATAGTCGCCGCGGTTAGTAACATTGTCACCATAAGACACAAGCTTATTATATAGCCAATTAGTAACTCTCGGGCTGAGTATAGATATGTAGCGTTGTGTCGACGATTACGGCAATTGGAACACAACTTGTGTCGGCGTTAGCACGAAAATATCTAGAAATTTTATAATTGGAAAGCACCCGATATTACTGCAGGTCAATTCGTTGTACGTCGTCGTTGGCTCGCTGCTGATGGGAGCGGTGGTGCTAGTCGTCGGTTTGGTACAACTCGCGCCAGGTGCAGAGGCTGCCCAGAACTCAGCAGCTTTGATCGCCACAGGAAGCAGTCTTTTAGTAATAGGAGCATTCCTCGCGCCGTTGCGAGCGATTTGTATCAAAAAGCAGAACATGGCTCAAAAGGAAAGTACTCATCAGCGCAGCGTCACCAGCATAGATATGTTGCTGGCCCAGCACAGGTAAAGTCAATCGATGAATCGTTCTTTGACTTTTTATTTTGCGCGAAAATATACGAATCCTTTTTCGTTTCCTTTTTCTTTTTTCAAAAAGATATTGATCTTGAGCCTGTCAAACAGAAAAACTGTTATTAATTCACTGTTCTTCAAGCATCGCTACCCGCATTATAGGTACGTTGAAAATGTAGAAAGAAACGTGTTTCACAGCTTTGTAACCACACATATACCGAAAAAAATATTTGTGTAAAATTACATGATTATGCTGGGTTTTTTTTTGACCCAGCATAATCATGTAATATTGCAGCCTACATGGAAAATTACAGGTTATATTAATTTCACATGCAATATGTATTTTCGAGATTCCATTGAACATATATATATATATATATATATGGAATTTTACATAGGAACACACGTACAGTATAATTTTGGTATGTTAGGCGTACGTGTCTCTATAAAAACGTATAATTTCCGTTTCTATGACCGTTTCGTGTATGGCTTCATATATTAATTTTATACATATATTAAACGTTAAATAGAAATTAAATTCGGATATAGGAAAAAAATTTTTTTTATTTTTTTAATATACGATGCTTTTTTATTATTCATATGTAGATTTATGACTTCAAATACAATTTATTAATTACAACATTATTACGCGTCGCATATTTTACAATTTTTGAAAACTCATATATACACCTATCAACGCGGGATTCGAACCTACGACTTCAGTAGTGGAATTCTGTAACTCGTTATGCAATCGTTACGTGCTTATAACGACAGTCGCGCAGATATTTTATATGATAAAAAAGCTGCGCAACTGTCGTTATGTACTCGTAACGACTGCATAACGAATTATAGAATTCCACTACTGGAGTGGTAACTTAACACACTAACGCTGAGCTACAATCGCACGCTTACTGAAAAAAATATTTATATGATTATATTGAATCTTTTCCAATCTTACTAGCATAATCATGTAATATTGCAATCCACTTGGAAAATTACAGATTATATTAACTTCACATGCAATATGTATTTTTAGAATTAGATTGAACATGAAATTTCGCATACAAAATGTAAAATATAAAGGCGAGCTGCAGACGTAACCTCCTCTTTGCTTCACCCATCTTTTTTTTGGCGTGTTGAGTATACATATAGATTCTGATTATCTACAATAATCACACAATAAATGTAAAATTGCATTTTTTCTGTAATTTCGCATGAAACTGTTTTTTCCCGTTTATATGTCATAAAATACAGCTTAAATTTTAAAACTACAAGTTATTTTTACATAAAAGTAGTACTTTCACATATATTTTACCATTAATATGTATTTTTACTTTAAAAAAGAAAATTTCCAGTCATATTTAGGTAATTTTACAGTCATAAACATGAAATATCCATGTAAAATTACATGCATTATTTTAGATTGAAAAAAGGAACACATCCACTCACTCATATCCACACGCACGCACGCACGCACCCATATCAAATTTTATTTTATAAATGTGTGAAGATGAACCGACTATGAATTTAAAAAAAAAATTATAGATTTTTTTTATTTAAAAACTATTATGAATCATAGATAATCATAGAAAGATAATAGATTTTTTAAAAACATTTGCAAAATAGAACTGTGTAAAATATTACATCAAAAGTTGAGTAATCCAGCAATAACTCTATGAATATGAGTAGGTAATTAATTATCTGTAAAATTTCTCGATCAGTGATTGAAAATTACAGGCCTACAAAATTAAGGGTCCTAAAAGATACAAGAAGTAGAGTAGTAACTTCCTACATAATTTTGGTTGCTGAATCCGAATCCGTCAGCGGAAAATGTCCATTACGTCAGGTTTTTGAGATAAACGAAGTAATATGGGTCAGAAACAGTTATTTTTGCCATCTTCAAGGCGTTATTATGACTGACCAAATTATGTTTTTAACATTCTCTCATCGACATCTTAAAGCGCTATCTCTTGTCTTGAAATTGCGATTTTTTTTATTCCTGTACGATTTAAGATATTATAACATTAAAATTATGCGTGTTTATTTATACAGCATTTATATAATAAAAAAATCATGAATTTAATAATAGATAATGTATAATCGAAATATTTATGTTAATCCTAAATTTTTATTAATTGTCGATAATATCATCGTTCTTCAATTATCTCCGGGCCCCTGGGGCCCCATTGATAGTCACAAAAATTTGCCTAAGACCGACCGTTTTTAATAATATCTCGTCAGTGACGATGTAAATTAGGTCACAGTGTAACACAGTGAATCATTTCATCCTTATTGTTTTATGATATTAAACAAAACATTTTTTTAAAATTAATTTCAAAGTTTTGTATCGCAAGGGCGATCATACTTCCTTACTCATGTGCTAGAAATGTGATTCCCTGCGATTCACCACCGTGATCTCATTGTATCGGCAGGGACTTCACCGTCCTGACGCCCGACGAGCTCGAGGACCTCGTGAGTCGACCGGTGTCCAATAATCTGGAGAACAAGCTGCATAAGCAGGATCACAACACCTAGGTACTAACTGCCTCGAGGAGGGCACCGCCTTCCGTGTTGTCATCGTTTCCGCCGTGCTCGAACACCACTACGTCACCGTCATCTGTCGCGTTAAGACCAAGCTCCTCCATTTCATACACACATCGTTACGATACGCGCGAGCATAGTTTGGTTTAATTAATGTGCATTCATACCGTCGCTGTCATTAGCGTAGGACCGCAAGGGGCCTCCTTATGCATTTTTTCTAACGCGTGTACCGCGCAGCCGTGAGACCCGCAAGCGAGACGCGGAACTCTTTCGAGGATATATTTTACTTACTTGCCAATACGAGCGAAGAGACAGCCGATGTACAGCACACAGATTTTATCGTTTCCCAAAATATTCTCGTGACGATCAGAGAAGTTTCGTCGATTCATTCTGCCATCAAGATGAATTAGCCGTGCGGAATAATTTCTACCATACGTACGAATTCGAAATCTCGTAAGCGTTTTTGAAAAACGTATATTTCTTATTTTATATGTATGGCCACAATCGTTTATATTTGTATTTTTAATTCGATTGCGAAAATTTTCGAAGAAAATTAGTCTCCTCCGAATCACATGCTTTCGATTATCTAAAACACGATTATTATTGTGGATATTTGTGCGATATATAGCATTGTCGCTTTGCTTCGATTTAATTATTGGTAAAATTTTATTGATGAAGAATATTTTCACACTGCAGGAAAACCTGCATCTTATAATGTCTTTAAAATACGGTTTCTTACTAAAGTTGTAACACAACGGGTGTTATTTCTTCAAAGACTAAATTGTGTTCAATTCACGAGTAAATGAGATATGATAGCGACTAACTTTGTCGTGAATTTCCATATATACTTACGATAGAATTTGGAAATTTTCACGATTTGTTATCAGTAGGGCGCTAAAGAAAACAAACGATATCACACGTGTATAGATGTTCTTACAATGTCTTGGCGGTTAATTAATTGTTCGTTAAATATTTAAGAATGTGCTTGTCGCAAACGTTTTACAGAGATTTGCGCGATGTGTGTAACTCTATGTCAACAGGCTGTGCATAATGTCAAGATCGTTTGTGGAGGCGAAAGATAAAACGACGTAATAAGCTGGGAATAAATGAGTAACAACGACTCAGGACTAGGAGTAATGAAACATAAACCGAGATCGATATACACTTAGGGTACGAGCACAGAAGAAGCAGGTTTTTTTGCTTTCCGATAATCAGCGTTGATCGGCGCCGATCGACATCAAGAATATATCCATGTTATCTTATGAGACCGCACATAGTAAAAGCAGGTTCAGACTTGTCACGTATCACCGGCGCGAGTGAATTAATCGGAACGAATTTTTAGTTTTCTCGATTGTAAACGCCGGTTGAGTCTTCAAACACCAAAATGGACATTGATAATTTAATTTCGGCAACTTTATAAGATCTTCCATCTTGGGATAAATGACATAAAAATCATTCCAACAGATAAATTCTTAAAAACATCAAATACGCGATAAAGAAAGTCATGATCGGTCAAAGTTAGATGTTTCAAATAATACATTATATATTCTTTATTAAATCAATTTATTCCAAATATGATTGCGTGCCGATAACTTTCGGACTTTCAACATTCTGAAACGCTAATAGTCCCCCCTAAATGAGATTAGAAAGAAGGAAAGAAAGAAAGAAACTTATTGCGAAAAATATTATCTCAGCCAGGATACGAACCTCACGACTTTCCGGGAAGAGTGTTTTAGCCAACTCGACCACTGAGGCTTCCTTTATTGTATTTGATGTATTCATACGTACGATTGTGCTTAAAATTCTTAAAATAAATTCTGGAAAAATATTGGAAAGTAGTGAATAAAGAATTTTAAACTCTTATGACGTATTGTATGACTTAACAATTAAATTCAATGTTAAATTATTTATCAATTATGTGAAATTGAGCTTATAAATAATAAAAAGGTATAGTAATTTGTCAGAGACACCATTAATTAATTACAAGACATCGACTCAGAAACTGACAGGTTTCCTGCTATAATAGATATTTACTGTGTTCACCTCAAACGTCAATAGCTCGCGCCGATCGGAAAGCAGAAAATCTGCTTTCTTTGTGCTCGTATCCTTATACAGAGTGGTGTGCAAAAAGTAGAAATGAGTAAAGCGGACGTATGCATTATGTGTATGTGTGCGCGTCTAACCCATTGAGTTTCAAAGTCTCCGGCAAAAATTTGTGTGTCAGGTGCAATTATAACTCTCACCTTCTAAATTTCTGAATAATTTCTAACTGCTCGTCTGGGATATAGGATCTTGATTTGTAAATTCTCAAAATGAGGTCGTGAAAATATCCAAAAATGCCGATTTTCACTTTTTATGTGAATCATCAGATGCAAACGTTTAGGACAGATATCAAATGTCAAATCTTGTTAGGAAAGTGAGAAAAAATTTCGTCCATTTTGGGCCATCCGCGTCCAGTAATTAATTATACATAATTTTGTAGATAATAATGGTAGTATTCAAGAAAAAGTAAGTTTAGATCCTCAAATCCTCGTGGAAAATAGTTCTGTATTGTTCATTCTGGATGTCTTCATTTTGTTATCTATGCTTTCACGATGCTTTCATGCCTTCAATCACCTAAGATTTTTTATTCTATAATAGAACGTGATAGAATTCTTATTTTTATTATTATCTTCTTCTAAAGATTTCTTTTTGCGTCCAAGCCGTGATATAGAAGCTGATGAGCTCGCTAATTACAATATCGATATTGCTAATCCAACATTTCTTAAAACTCGAACACAGTCCTGGGACCCTATTCTTGAAAAGTATCGCATACGAAAAACTAGGGAAATACTATAGTATGCGTTACATATACTATAGCATTTCTTTAGTTTTTCGTATGCGATATTTTTCGAGAATAGGGACCCAGGCATGTTAATAAAACACGATGCTATATGTCTACATTGTAGCAGAAAGCAGAACGTAATAGTGAAGGAAAAGGTGTTATTAAAGAGTATTACTGCACATGTATATGAATGGTGCTCGTATTGTAGGCTGTTTTGTTCATATTATGTCGATCATTTGGTGCCTAGGATACGCTAAATATCAATGACATATTTGTCATGTTGGACAGTTCGGATGATGATCCATCGATCGAATAAAATGACATCATTAGGAGGTCAGAACTACTTTCGGCGAGGGTTTGAGGATCTAAACTTACTTTTTCTTGAATACTATTATTATCTACAAAATTATATATGATTGATGACTGGACGCGGATAGCCCAAAACCCTTACGAAAATGGACGAAATTCTTTTGACATTTATCCTCGCCGCGATTTATCAATTCTTTATCGATTCATCTTTAACAAAATCTCCGGCTCGGAGACAAGAAACTCCTATTCCGTGGGGCCACGAGAGAGAAAGCACGCAGACAGAAATGACGCCTAACATAGAAATATAAAATCATAAATATCAAAACATTGTAGGAGGCTAAAAATAAGTGATTTCGATCACATTTACTTTGTATGCTATAAAAAGAATATCGTTTAGGTTTACACCGGTTTATAAACTGTCCACAAAATATTTCATAAGGCTATTATCATAAAAAATGCAGAATTTTAACATATGTGTTTATTGCGTTTACAGATTAAACACAATCTTATCAAATTTATTGTTTAATATAGAATTGATAAATTGACACACAACAAAATACACATTAATGATCTGCAGAATTTACAATAAAATATTGATTGAATTCTTATTATTACGGTATTGTTTAAATCTGGAGTTCTTTTTATGTAAGAATATTTATTTCAAGTGAGTGGATGAATGCAGTTTCGAGGAGGAAACATATCTACTGACTCATATGAGTAATACGCGAGTAGAGATATATTTTTATTGTCATTCTATATAGCGGCTGCACACAAAGAGAAAGATAGTGATTATGAATAAGAACTATCCACGTTTGTCGATTTAAACAAGATTCGCATTTGCCGTAAGATTTCTATTGAATGTTTATCTTAATTTCAGAGACTAGGAATTGTCGTAAACTTTTTATTAATTTATTATTAATACGTTAAACGCGAAGCCGATTTTGTTTTAATTTCCGTTTAGGCGAGGGGGAACGCTCAATCACTACGTAAGAAACGTAAACAAAAGAGAGATAGCGATGAGCGATAAGAAGGCGATTCATCGAGTCATCTAGAGGCCATTGCATGTAAAAGTTTTATGTCGTAACCGTAAGCCTGTAAGAAGCGATAAATTAATTGCTATCGCATCCTTATGAACCGACGCTATTTAAACGGAAAGTCCAATATTGGTCCTTAGGGATGACGTCGCGTTTAATGTATTAATAATAAATTCTATTTGCAGAGAAATTCTAGTCGCAGGCGCAGGAAGACGTTTTTAATTGTATTTTAAAGTTACTCTTAAATTCGTCGCGTATATTCTCGATCACCATTTAAGAGAAACTGGGAGGAACCCAACTTTCTGCAAGGAAATCTGCGAGCGAGATTACCACTCTGTTCTCGCCGGAATATATCATTTTGCTGCGATAGGATCTTAAATGTAACACGATTTTTAGGGTAAAATGCAACAGAGAAATACACATATGTGTGTGAATGTGCAGGTATCGCCGCGCCAGGATCAATCAACAACAATAAAATATTAAGGGTCCATTCTATCTTGTGGTCTGAAAAAAGGTGATTTTTGGGAACTTTTTTTGTTGGGTGCGTTCCGAGTTACGTATGAAGCGCATGATCCTAGGTAGTAAAGTTTATCATTTTGACGTCATATTTTTGGCCTTTACTGACCATTACTGATGTCTTAATGAAGTCAAATTGACGTTCAAATGTTACAGACGATTATACATAAAGTCCTCTACCATTTTACAATTTTCATAATAGTTAACGAGATATTAATTACTAAAAATTGCCGAATATATTGATTTTCAATAATTTTTTACTGAAATACTATCAACTTTACAGAAAAACAGCAAGAAACAAAAATTGTTTATTTTCTTCTCATAGAGCTCTGAAAATTTTTTCAGAATTTTTTAACACGGTATTTTCTCATGTTGGTAAAAATAGTTGCCAATAAGAAAATGCAGTATTAAAAACTTGATTCAGTTTAGTCCGCTTTATCTACATAAAAGCGCTTGGCAAAAAATTGCGGAACGCCCTGTATACTAGTATAGGGGGAAGATGTCACTTTTGCAGAATATGACATATCAATTTTTTCCAATTATATGGAATATCAAAAATTTAATTCGTTAAGTTGTATAAATAAAGAAAGTTTCTAGAATGTAAATAATATTTTTTCATAGGTTAATTCAATAATATTAAGAAGTTATTCAAGAATAAAGGCTTAAGTGTGGCATCCCTCGATTTACCTTATTCCTGCTTGTGTATGATCTCTTTAATGCTTCGTAATTTTTTTATCTTTCGGAGTTCCCCGTTAAGGCTTTAACACAATATTCTATACACTTGAGGCTATCAAATTATACAAAAAAGTTT